CCCAAACTGCTACTCTGATAGCCGTCCTGTGCCGGGTACTCTGTGGCCGACATCTCTATCACATCAATGGTGCCGTAGGGAAGAACTGGGGCCGTCGTCGTGATTTGGACTCCATTGGTGGTTGCTAGGGTCTTTAAACTGGCACCATTTTCACATTCAACACTGGAATACACTTTTTTACCATCAATTCTGCTCATATTCAGTTCTACAAAAGCTGAAGTTGCTGTCGCTGGAACTTTTGTAAAAGATTGGATATCGTTTTCGAAGTAATTTGTTCCTACAAAACAATTTGGAGTAATTAGTATTCTGCGTTGTTATACCATGTCTTGCAGTTAGCTTGATGTTGAGCAAACTGGCCAAGATATATCCTAAGAAACTTATAATTTAGCTGACATCAGTCATGTATGATGAGATTATGTTTATATATCCATATTTTTATCTATCAGATGTATATTGTTGTTTTCTCTCTCGTTTAAGCATTTTTTTCTTCTAAATATGAGACGGGTTACTATTAAACATACAGTAAGAGGGTTACGCAATTCAACACACCTCTTTAATGCTTCATTTATAATCTGCGTACTTACCAATTGCCCAGGCACATGACTGAATACCTGATTCTGGATCTATGATTTTCCAGTTGACAGTTATAATGTTGCTCGATTGCATTGACAGATCCTCTCCTACAACAAAAAGAAAAACAACAATGGGAAACAGAATAGTATTACATTTCTTTTCTGAAAAAAACCTCAAGATAAAAAAACGACAGATATGAAAGCGAGGAAATGAAGAGCCATCAAAACAAAAGGAAAAAGATCACGTGTTCCAGAAGTGATTCATGTGCCAGATTTAGCACGCGTTATGATAACTCTCGTTCAATATTAAACAAATAAAAAAAGAGAGGCCATTATGTTTAATTAACCAAAATGCGTATATTAGGTACATCATGATTAAATCTAGATTGGGACAGTGAGAACCTGATTTAATCCGATTCCATTAAAAAATGTTGATAATGACGGAAAACCATCAGCTTAAGACCAGAAAAAAACCCATTTAATTTACCGGAACCATCATTTATCCTCAACACGACAGGTGGGGTGAGATCGACCAGTATTGGATCAGCGTGCAGTATTGTCCTCAGCCCAGCTGCATTAGTGGCCATCACTGTCACGTGGACGATAGCGTTGTGATCCAGATTTAGGTTGCTGTTAGACGAGAATGTGTTCCTCCCCACACTGGTCAGTGACTGTAAAGTTAGTCCTCCCCTTACCGTACCTGACAAGTATAGCATCACATTGCATTATAGGTTGTTATTGAGAATAGCTCAAGGTTATATGTCACGTTAATGTGGCATGACCTCCTTTTAAAAAGAGTTATACTCAAACAAACTTGCATATATTTGTTAAAAGTTGTCATTTCACCTTTATTGAGAAAGACAATATACATTTAACCGGTAAACAAGATTATATGCATTGACCATTACAAGGTAACTCGTATTTCTCAGTCTAAATTAAAATAAGCTACTTAATTTATTGTATAATTAATTGTCTTATGTTTGGTACATGTTTTTCAAAATAAGTTGATATGTACAATAAGCACAGAACCAGATATGAAACTCATTAATATCATATATTACCAATAGACCAAGTATAGTCTATGATGGGAGATTCCATATCTTCAAACGTCCATTTGGCACGGACAATGGTTTGCTCGTGAATGAAATGCAACTTTGTTTCTATATGGCCCATTCCATCGGAATCGTAGTCTGCAACACTGTCAAATTGTTGAACGACTATATCATCTATTGCGAACCCCATAGAAGGTCCGATCGATCCAAGGGTCAACGTTTCACTTACAGATGATGCTTGGAAATAATACAGATGTGTTTCCCATTGAAAGTTTTCCCGGTGACCCGGCTCATTTCTTCCATATTTCTTGTGTAAAAAGAACATGCGTGTTTCAGAACCAAATTTCACATAGGCTTCTGCGTTTGACATTACCGATGATGGAAGAGTCATGTGTTTGGTAACAAAGGACACTCTATATTCTTCTCCAATCTCCAGGTTCTCTAGGGTTTGTGAAACAGACATTTGTACAAGGAGAAAATTGTTATTTACGTTGTTTTTTGTTTCACGAACTACGCCACCGCATCCCTCTAGTTTCCAGTCCACAGGACGGTATACAGATAAAATACTGCATAAATCCGATTCCAGAGCTGTTGATAAATTATTGGAATTCTGGAGAGAGGATTCAAAAGAAGGATTGTCAACAATGTTCTTTCTCCATGATATATACTTCGATGGAATAGGTGGAGTATAGTCAATAACGACTCCGTCTGATACTGCTATCACAGAGTGTTGACCCACGATATCCACAGCATACACCTTGTTAAACAGCTTAGAACCTGCAAGGTACCATGCAAGTTATATTTGAATTGATAATAGAATGATGACATGAAATCACATTTTCGAAACAAATCTAGTATATGACGCGGAAGCAGAAAATAAATGAAAAGACATATTGGTTTTGTACACATCACGAACAGGACGAGTTATATAGACTTGGATGGAAGCCTCTGATATACGCAGAAAAGATCATAATTACCAATAACATAGAAGATAAAACGTAAAATCCGAAAATAACAAGTACACTGTATCTACCTAGACGGATAGCATGGAAAAACTACTTAAAAATCCATTTATAATCAATTATATCAATTATTAACCAACAGCATCGCAGAAGTTGAAAGGCTTGCTTGCTTCAGATCAAGAATGTTTTAGGCGTAAAAAAACGCTTTATTTTAATGATTATACAATTGTTCAAGCTGTTCATATTAAGCAGTATGGTATGTCTGTTTTTAAGTATATTTATATAAGACTGAAGCAGGAGAAATGGGCCCCAAACAAAGAAATTCAGATGTAGTTGTAAGAATGTTAAAAGGCAATCGGCGTGATATCCTAAAGCATGTTGTTGACCTCAGACCAAAACTAGAATCACCGCTAGTCAAACTTGGTGGTTATGCACATGGTTCGGTATGTGTTTGGAAACACTCTGTACAGGTACATATTTATAGAGGAGGCTTGATAAAATTTATGTATGATGTACATTGCCGAAACATACCTTGAATGACAGGAGTTGTGATGTTACTGAAGTAGGCTGTATGGAGGCCAACAAACCGCCAGGGGAGGACCGAACAGTCTGATAAGTCAGCAGTTACTCCCACACACCAATAGTAACCGATCAGTCCCGTCGTATCACGGAAACCCGCCCAAGTCGCACCCAGCTGCTCGGAGGCGTTCTGATAATCTGTGTCATGGATTCCTGGAATACCAAATAATAATTTTAATGTTTTTCAAACAGTAGTTGATTGAATTCCTAATAAAATAAAATATGATTTATATCACAAAACAAACGTATTTGAAAATAAATTGATGACTTGCAAGATAATAAATATTATAAAATATATGTAGAACTCAGCATTCTAGCACATATACTGCTTCCGTTATTTTTGTTTCAGTAACTTACCGAGTCCATCAGATACGAGGCCACTGATTGGTTGGTCAGTATCGAACACAAACCCGTCTGATACAGCTGTACGATAAATTCCTGAATGTCCGTAACCAATCACATTCGTGTAATATTTGACTTGTGACCGAAAAGGTGCCCAGGTTATATTGTGTGACGTCAAATGTGCAGGGAGACTTACAGAACTTTCAAATATACCATGACCTGGATAAAAGATATGTTCAACCATATCAATAAATTAAAACATACTGGCATTCGAATAAAACATTTTATTTGAAATTGAAATATTCAACTTTACAAAATATGGATATTTTTAGGATGCTCAATGACAGGGAGGTCAGTTGCAGAAAGCACCAGAAGCCAATAACATAATTTGCAAACACTGCTTTAAACGACTGAATAAATGATAACATACATATCCCAACATTCATCTGTTTGGGAGAATAATGTTATTTTCGACAGAGTTGGCAAATAAAACGGACGGTATCTTCCTTTCAAAATATTAGCTTTTGATTTTGTAGATGTAAAAACTGGGGTGTTGATCAGTAACAGTTCAGTTGTTACTGAAACTATAATCAATAATATACAACAATTCGAGGGATCCACTATTCTGTCATGTAAATAATGTTACCTACCGCCTGGGAAGAGGCTGACATAGATGTCGTATATGTGGATATGTTCCTCAGCACCCAGAAATACGCCGGACCAGTCTATGTAAAGTTTCATAGGGTCGTTTGTAAAGTCAACTTCCTTCTTGTTTGTTCCATGCTGACGCTCCTTCACCTGAAGAAGAAATATATCTATATTTACTTCAGGATTGTGTACTGTATATCTGCAAGTTTTCGTAAAGTTTAGTTTTAATTTTATCGACGATTATATTAAACTTTCGAATCAATGACCATGTGGATATTTTGAAACCCTCGAACTAAACAAACGAATTGCGAAATTAAAACCTCGTAAGTAAGTTCTGGATGAAAATAATTTTATAAAATAGTATTAAAAAGGTACTTCATTTACAATGATACATTACAATAAAATAGCAAAACTATAGCCATACCACTATTAACCATAAGGCACATTTAGCTGTATCGCTGTATTAAATGTTATGTGAAGATGAGCAACAAAATATCCCATCTGTGTCTTTCAAAGTTGGTCAATATCAAATTTATTTGAAAATAAAATTAACAGCAATCAAGTTAGCACTTCATCTTTCATTCCGAATAGGCCAGATATCAATACCCCGCGCATAATTGATAAGAAGTTCATAGAAAAAAGTGGTCGCCAGACGATAGACGGACCCTATGCAATTATCTAAGCTCAAAGGCAATTCAAGGCTTGTGAGCTAAAATATGAAAATATTAAGATTGACGATGTTTGTGATGTGATCTTTATATATACAATACTACTGATATATAATTTCTATACAATACCATTGCTCCTAACAGCTTTGTGACACTTGGAGGTTGATCAACAATTGTGACACCGTCGGATTTATATACAGCGTAAGTCGTAATGCTAAACCATGATCTTATGAACACGGAGTATTGGAATCCACTCTTCAACTCCTTCCCTGTAATAATTTACAAGTGGGATTATGGAGTTACAGATACTCTACAACCGATTTATATCAATTTGTTTCGCGAATGTGTGCTAAATTATAGATGGAAACCCTAGTCAGTGACCATCTATCTGTCAATAGAAAGCGGATGAGAAACATCCGACTTTAACTAAACAGCAATAGGACATGCTTTTCGTATACAAGTTATTCTTTACATCCCAAAATACACAACAAATGATCGATAGTGATTCTAATTCAAACGGAATAGTCAAGATTAGTCAAGTTACAGTGCAAAATATTTATGCAAAACATGCTCTAACCTCATTTTGGTTATTGGAACTTCAACCTGTGAGGAGATGACCGAAATACATTTTAAATATATATTTTTTGAAACAAGTTGTACTAAAATCAATACTGTAAGAAGTTGTGTCTATCACCTCGTGGAAACGTGACCGTGACGTTATGAAACTGACTGGCGTCGTGCCAAACCCGGTCATTCAGATGATCGTATACTCCATCAGGGATATCACTGTGTGTATAACCAACACTCCACTCGTACCTGAAGGGTGGTCAATAATATTCATTATTACGGTACTTTCTGTGTAAGTGATTAGGCATGATATTCTGTATTTATGTTTGCTTGATTAACACTGATGCTTTTTTATCCGATGCACTTTCCTCTCAAAAATAATTCAATGATAAATACTTTTGGAACAATAAATAGATTCCCATCAAACTGTTATTTTGGCTCCTTGAATTCTAAACATTATTTCTTGTAAAGACACGTCAATGTTTTGTCCATTTAATCTTTAAGATTAAATTAAACTTGATGATAAGCGTATGGTATTGACATTGCATATTCTCACCAAAGCACAGTCTGCCCAATAGAATACCACGAGGCAGATACAGCCATGTTGCTGTATATATAGTCGGTATCGGCTTCAGAGGATGACCCGA